ACAGAGAGCGATCGAGGCAAATCCTGTCCTTCCGTTCCGCCTCCGCAACTTTCGCAACCCGCGCGATGACCCTTTCCGTCGTCGAGTGAACGACGGGTAGCGATGCGCCCGAGGCACACACAAGATAGAGCCGCGCGGCGCGGTGCGATCGCGCGCCCGTCCGAAATTCGCAAGCCGCGACGGGACGCAGCCAAACCGTCCAGGGTATTTCCCAGGCTGGAAAGAGTCGGAAAGACGAGCTTTCGTCGCTTTCGTGGCTAGATTGGCGCGAACGAACGTCGGAGGACGAAAAACAAGCAACGCGAACCGCGCTCGCATCAACGGACAGATCGTTTTCGAAGTGTGTCAGGGTGAGAGATGACACGCGCACGCGAGCGCACGCTCGACGCGTCGTTAAACGTCCTACGGTGCGTGTGTACATGCACTGCCCTTGACAATAACTCGACGGCGACGGGTGTCCGTGCGCCGAGAGCGCTCCCGCATTTCCATGCAATTTACCTTTTGCGTTTCACGCAGACATCAAAAAGTCCGTGAGTGGCAATTTGCTTAAATCAAAGTTCGTGTTGAACCTATTAACCGCCACCACCGCCACCGTCGCGGCCGATTTATTTGCCGAGGCTGATCGACGTCGATCGATGACGATCGTCTCGTTTGCTGTTCGCCGTTCCTTCGTTGTTTACACAACGACCGTGTGTGCCGCTCCTTTGACCGCGCGGCGATCGATCATCGAGGCACCTGTTCCTCGCGCCCGCCGCGACAACGCGTCCCGACGCTCCATCGATGCAAACGTTGCGAAGAGTTTCGAATCGGCGCCGAATCGAAGCGCAGGTTTCCGTGACGCGTCACGTGTTTTACGCGCTGGGAATATCGTTGAGCAGCTGAGACGCGTTAACGCAATCGCGTCGCAATCGCGCGTTCGAGTACGTGAGCGCAATTTGTTTGCCGAACGTCCAAGAGGAGTGACACGTCCCCTTCCCTCCCCCATCCCCCACCACTCCCCGCGAATTGATTGCAAACGTAGGTACGAATCCCAAGATCCGGGAGAACTCGCACGCGTGGATGCCTGTTGGCGATCGAGATCGATCGATTAGAAGATCATCCTCGCAAACTCCCTTATTTTTGAATCGAAGCGACAGGAAAGCAGCTCCATTTTTTAACGAAATCAGGCTGCATTACAAATTTCAAAATATTCGGAGTGGCAACTGAAATTCACCTGAATTTACTGATGATACAAGAAAATGTTTAGAATGAAATTCGTCCCTGTTCCGAGGGGGAACAAATCTCGCGATCTGTCTAGTGCAATCGCAAAAATATCATAAAATACTCGGAAGAGAACGAATTTTATTACGATACATTCTTCTGTATCGTCAATATTTCGGCAGCTGTTCGAATGAGTCGATTTGAATGAGACACTCTGTATGCTGAAAATATTTATTTCAAACACAATGAATTTCGTGATTGCAATTTCAAAAGAGAAAGAACTGCAAAGAAACAAATACTTTTGAATATTTTAGTATTTTAATATTTCAATTAGTATTTCCGAGTATTTGTCTTTGATAATGTACACGTTTCCAGCAAAAAAATCAGACAGCGATGAGGTTGTAACTAGTAACTATAATAATCGTAATTAGGCTCGTAAAGTCCTGCGAAACTAAACAATTTCTCTAGTGTAACCACGATAAAAAATGAAAGAATTAATATATTATATTTATAAAATAATACTCCACATATTATCATATATGTTGTATATGATTGTTAAAAATCTATCGTACTCTTTCAAATACTATAAATGTTTCATTATATATTTCGTTGCACGTAAATAATAATAAATAGATATTATATATATATATAATATTATATATATATATATATTAATAATAAGTAAATATATTAAATAAATTAATAATAAGTAATATAACAAGAATATAATAATAAGTAATAATAATAAGTAAATATATTAAAAAAATTAATAATAAATAAATATTAATAATAAGTAATTGAAATATAGTAGAACTCCGTTCATACCGATTCCATTTATTTGAACTAAATTTTAGTCAATATCCGATTAAATCTCGGCTCTTGTTAGTTGAATCCATTTATTCGAACTGAAACTCCTATTTGCACGAACAAAAAAATTATATTGGCAGAAGAGGGAATCAGCGGATTCCTGTTATATGAACTTCAATTGTATAAACCATTTGTCCCCCGACAAAATTCTATTGCACATAGTGAATACATTGGTAAAATCAACTAACTATACTTCAAATAATATTTCAGTTCGACAAGAAAAATAAATAATTATCTTAAATTAAACTGTGCAATATTACGTAGGAAATTTTTATTTTTTTATTTCAAATACATTATTACCCAGCGCTGTTTGATTGTGGATGAACTGAATTTGGCACGAAGTGAAAGCTTGTTTCGAAGCGTCAATTGCAGCGAATTTTCAAAGTCGATATACGGACTTCCCTGTTTATTAATATAAAAAAATTGCTTCCAGCCATTTTACAGACTGCTAACAACGAATCTGAATTTAAAATTTTCAAAGATTCGTAGTGCAATATATTTCATTCAAATATGTCCTACGTCTTGTGTTGAAAATGTTGAGAGAAATGAAAAAGATCAATATTTTTTTCTGAAAACTCAGCTACATTTTATTCATCATCGTCTCTGCGTTATAATTTCGAGCGAATCACGTTAATTGATACACATTCTCGGTTGCATTTTATTACAATTGTATCGTCTTGTGAAAAGAAGACGCGTAAAAAAGTCGCGCAACTGTGAACAAAATGTGCAAACGAAAATGTGTAATTGCGAATGAAAAAGTCGTAGAAAAAAAAGGTATCACGAAAAACGAAATGCATACTATTCGTATTACGCTGTTAGTAATATTAATAATTGGTGAATCACTATTTAAATTAGTAATAATATTAACGCTATTAGTAATTGCTGGTGAATCACTACTTGAATCTTATCATTTTCTCTGTTTTTTATGTTTGATGAGAAAGCTTGGTTCCACAAAAAATATGGTAGGATTATTCTGGGAAACATAAAATATTTTTTAAATTCGATAAGGAAAAGAGATAAAAATGATAAAAACATTGGTCTCGGTGTTGCGTCGAACAAAAGAAGAACGGCTTCGTGCCGAGCGTCATTACGTTGATATTATAAGTAGAATATTTTAAATTTTGATAATCTAGCTTCAGATTCGTCATCTCTCAGTGAAACCTCTGAGAATAGTCTTTTCAATTATTTGACAAACGTGAAAGTTCACATATATCGAAACGTAACTCACAGGTTTTTAAAATAAAAAAAAATGACCCTACATGTACATTTGTCTCTTTCGTTGCAAAGTGCAGTAATTTTTATAACTTGTTAACAATTACGTTAACAATGTTGGGAGTTTTAATTTTATTTTAATTCAGCTTGGAATGCAAAATATCACGATTTAGAGATAGTGTGAATAGTTTCGCACATGCTGTTTCAAACACTAAAAGGGCAGGATATTTTTCATGTTACCATTCCCCAAAGAGTATAATAAATCTGAACTTTGACCCCGTGTATTTCGGAATAAATTGTCGACTCAACTTGAAGATTTGTTGTAATCAACGTTATACGTTGTCATTTGATATTAAATAAATTCAGCTTCAAAATTGGGAGGCCCAAAATCAGGCGATTTTTTTCGATCAATCTTAATATACTTATTAATTAATAATATTATACTAACAATATTGATAATATTAATAATGATGTATTATTATAATTATTATGATAAAAATGTATAACGAAATATTGTAATATTAGACTGTTGATTTTTGAAGTTGTAAAAAAAACGAAGTAGATGGAACAAATTTCCATTTAGATTCTATCTCTGTGGTTATGATCATAAAAATCCAAGAACGTATAAAAATCCGCAATCTCTGATTATAATGATCAAATTATCATAATCTAATTGTATTATACATTAATAAATTAATATTATCAAGTATTAATAAACAATCATCTGGAGTTAGTTTCTTCTTTTTGAACATCGAGCGAAAAGTCACATTTCCTTCAATAAGATAGTATACATGTTCGACAAGAAAGAAAAATGTGTAAAAAAAAAATGGAGCTGCCTGTACGATCTCCCTTCAATCCTGTAACGAGATGACGGCGTTTACAAGGGCGTTAGCGTTTTAATCGCCGACTGCATCCACATAGCTAGACTTGGTATGCGACAACAGCTGGTGGCCTTCCACATCTACGACCTTCTTCTACGTCGGCAGCCTGTTTGGGAACGTGGTGTTCGGCTGGATCGCGGACAAATGGGGCAGGAGGACAGCGTTCTTCGCCATACTCTTCCTCGAGGTGATATTCTCGATCGCCACCAGCTTCAGCCCCAACTACGTCATCTACACGGCGCTGAGGACCGTGAACGGTCTCTCTTTTCCAGCCATTTATCAGATCCCCTTCATACTAGGTACGGTATACACGCGTATCCTCCGTTACGTTGATCGCCAGCGACATTCACCGAGCCTTTTTGCGCCTCGGGGACCAGTTCTTCCCACCGTTCTTTCCCGAATCTTTTGCTTTCAGCCCTGGAGCTGATGGGCCCGAGGTACAGAACGTTCGCCGGCATGGTTATTTGCATGTTCTTCGCGTCGGCGATGTCTCTTCTAGCCGTGCTGGTAAGCCTATGACGATATGAAGAAGTAAAAGTTACGCGAAACAACTTCTGTGACCACGGTTCGAATCTTCTGGCGCGTAGAATGGCGGCAACGTCGTGTTTGCCGGTTTTCGCGGAATTATATTAATTTTTGTGAATTAGAAGAACCACTCTTCTGTGAAGCAAACGGGCCGATTCTGTCAAAAACATGTTGGAAGTGAATTGTTGTGTGGATTTTTATTGATTGATTCGGACTATATTACATATGTATTATGCTATACTGTACTATACCATAAGTATTATATTATATTATATATTATTATAGTATGATACAGACGAAGTATTATCACGTTCCGTTCTGCGATTTCTCTCGATACGTAGAGAGATTGCAGCGACATACGTCAGTGTTTCCTCTGGTTTTCGCAGGGTTACTTGCTTAGGCATTGGTTCACCCTGTCTTTGGCTACCTCGGTTCCGTTCGTTCTTCTCTTCAGTTACTACTGGATCATTCCCGAGTCGCCGCGATGGCTGCTCAGTAAAAACAGGATAGACGAGGCGGAGGTGATCGTTCAACGAATGGCCAAGATCAACGGTAAAACGGTGCCGAACAACTTTCTGCGAAAAATGGAGGTAACGAACCTGCGTTGAAGTTGCGCGAATCGTAGGCAAAAAGAAGCAAAAGATCATCTGTCGTCTATTTTTGGATTTTGAAACCGCAGTAAAGTATTCTATAATGAATTAATTCTTTCTGCAATTTTATATAGGGCACATCGTTGTAAGATATATATGTGCATAAATAATTAGACTATACACAAATCATTGGACACTTGGTTACAATTCCATTAAATAGTTTTTGGTATTTTTGTTACGTTTTCGTACGATCAACAATCGTTAATTTTCTGCATTTTTAAGTTTCGTATTCGCCTTTAATAAACGACTGGTAAAATCTGTATAAATCTTCTCATAAATCTAATAAAAACTATTTAACAGTTGTCTTGAAATTTCAACAATGAATAGACACATATCTTTACATATGTTACGTATCTTTATTCTTTTTACCAGTATCTATTAACTGTGTATGTTAAGATCAAATTAAAAAGATTCGTTTAATTTAGTAATTCAGAAGTGTCCAAATACCTGTGCACTTAATATATATATATATATATATATATAGAATAAAAACATTATTATTTTAACTTAACAACAATAATAAAATAAGAACATAATAAACTTAATTTAAATTTTGATTTGAATTTAAAATAAATTCTGAAACTAATCAACAGAGAAATCTGCACTTACAATTAGAAGAGGAAAGTATTCCTATCACGTTAATGTACACGAGAATAAACTTCGTTCTCTTTAGAAGTCAGAAACAGAATCGTCAGTTTGAAAAATTTACTATAATTGACATCTCTGACGTCATCAACTATCGTTTCGTATCAGAATGTAATCGTCCAACGGAGCTTGAAAAGGCTTTCATTTTTGGATCGTTCTTTCAGGTGGAGATCCTGCGAAGGCAAGGAGTGTCCTGCAACGGGACGAACTCGGGCGAGAACGCGGAATCGAACGAGGTGGAGGATCGATCGCCACCACCGGCGGCTACGCCGATGGATCTGATCAGGAACCCGAACATCAGGAAGAAGTTCTTCATCCTGGCGTTCGACTGGGTGGCGAACGCGGTCGTCTACAACGGGCTGTCGTACAACGCGACGAATCTCGGTGTCTCGGATTACCTAGCCTTCTTCATTGGTAAAACCACGACATTTTCTCGTCGACCTTGGCCCGTGTCTCGCGTAAACATGCTTTTGCATGCACGTCGCAACGCACGTCGTACGAGAATGCGAACACGCGACCTCTCTGCCTCTTCTTTGATCATAATCGGCGAGCATAATTGTTGCAGGTGGACTGGTGGAAATACCATCGTACGTGATAACGTGGTACGCCATGGATCGGCTTGGTAGGAGATGGGTGCTGTGCCTGACGATGCTCCTCGGCGGTCTCGCTTGCGTATCTTGCATGTTCGTTCCCGAAGGTACGTACGAAGCGACATCCTCGCTGTTTTCTCTCGCATTTACCTCTAGCGATTTACACGTGACGCGCGTGTGTCGCAGCAGACGCCGTATGGGTGACGGTGTCACTGGCGATGATCGGCAAGTTTGGCATCGCTGCGTCGTTCGCCGTGTTCTACGTGTTCGTCGGCGAGCTGTTGCCGACGGTGTTGCGATCGCAGGCGATGGGCATCGCCTCGTTCATCGCTGGCATCGGTTTGCTCGCGTTCCCGTACATCGTGCACCTGGCGGTCTACTCGAGGGTCCTGCCGCTGATCATAATGGGCACGCTCAGCGTGGCCGGTGCCCTCACGTCCATCTTCTTGCCGGAGACCCTCAACATTCACTTGCCGCAAACGATCGAGGAGGGAGAGTTGTTCGGGGCCGACTTCAAGCTCTGGTCCTGTCCCACGTTGCCTAAGTCGGTGTCCTCGTCGCCGTCCTCGTCGTCGCCGCAGCCGTCGTCCTCGCCGTCGCTGTCCTCGCGATCCTTGTTCCCGCGCGAGAACGACGACGACGCGTTCATCAAGAAGGAGAGCGTCGATTCGAACATAGACAAGTCGGAGTCCGTGCCACTGAGATTCCTGGTGAACGGCCGACCGGGAAATCGTTCGCTGCCGTCCGTCTCGTTGCAAGAGGAACCGGCAACAGCAGCGACCACACAAGCTGAGCCGGAGCCCGAGAATTCGCTGTCCGTGGAGCGCGCTAGCACAACCGGACAACAGACCGGAGAGGAGGAGCTCGCGCGTCCTATCGATAAACGCGTCGACGATCCATTAGTCGCCGTTGTCATCGTGGAACAAAGAAGAACGCAGTGAATCGGACTAGACAACCCGCGCGCCCTTGGTAGATACGATCAAGATACGTTCGCTATCTACGACAGATCGATCGATGGACACACGTGCGTGCGTCGGTATTTAAAGTGCTATTCATTCCGTTCTTGTTCCGTTTGCGGTAATTGTGCGAATCGCAACTGATCGATCGAGCGACGATACCGCTAGACCGGTGTTTTGGTTTTGCCGATCGAAAATAGAATGGAAAATAGACGGGAAGTGCGACGAATGGGATCGCGATTAGAGCGCGATCGTGCGTCACCAAGGTGAGACGAACGTTCGTCTGTTTCTGTTTGCGCGAAACGCATTCGACAACCGCGTCCGTTCGCGTCGACGTCGTCGAGTCGAGAAGCCACGGATCTGTGCCCCGCCTTTGGACGTCCCCGACCGATCCCCGTACCACCGCCATCACCACCATCACCATCTTCGTGGCTTCGTTGTCGAAGTTTCGGGGACGTTTCTCCTTCCTCTGGCGACTCAAAGATGCGGGAGATCGTGCACATACAAGCTGGACAGTGTGGCAACCAAATCGGTGCCAAGGTCAGTGTCACATCCGCGAAACCTGCAAGTAGTTAGCTCGCACGAAAAGATAATCGATATCGGATCGAGTTACTCTCTCCCGCGATCGGATAATCGACGATGATCCGTAGAACGATCGACTAACCTATCGCGTTCGCGTTCGTCGTTGACGATCCAACTTTTATCAGCTCTTGCACTCGATAACGGTTGACGAATGTTAGTTCTGGGAGGTGATCTCGGACGAGCATGGCATCGATCCGACCGGCACCTACCACGGAGACTCGGACCTGCAGTTGGAGAGGATCAACGTGTACTACAACGAGGCGTCCGGTGGAATGTACGTACCACGCGCGATCCTCGTCGATCTGGAGCCCGGCACGATGGACTCGGTGCGCTCCGGTCCGTTCGGGCATATCTTCCGACCGGACAATTTCGTGTTCGGGCAGTCAGGCGCGGGCAACAACTGGGCGAAGGGACATTACACCGAAGGTGCGGAGTTGGTCGACTCGGTGCTCGACGTGGTGAGGAAGGAAGCGGAGAGCTGCGACTGCCTGCAAGGTTTCCAACTGACTCACTCTTTGGGCGGTGGTACCGGTTCCGGCATGGGCACACTTCTCATCTCCAAGATCCGCGAGGAGTATCCCGACAGGATAATGAGCACGTTCTCGGTGGTGCCGTCGCCGAAGGTGTCCGACACGGTGGTGGAGCCGTACAACGCGACCCTGTCGGTCCATCAGTTGGTCGAGAATACCGACCAAGCTTACTGCATCGACAACGAGGCGCTTTACGACATTTGCTTCCGCACGCTCAAGTTATCCACGCCGACGTACGGGGATCTGAATCATCTGGTGTCGGCGACGATGTCCGGGGTGACCACCTGCCTCAGATTCCCCGGCCAATTGAACGCCGATCTGCGAAAGTTGGCGGTCAACATGGTCCCGTTTCCACGTTTGCATTTCTTCATGCCGGGCTTCGCGCCACTCACCTCCAGAGGAAGCCAGCAGTACAGAGCGTTGACGGTGCCGGAGCTCACTCAGCAGATGTTCGACGCGAAGAACATGATGGCGGCGTGCGATCCTAGACACGGACGATATCTCACAGTAGCAGCGATTTTCCGTGGCAGAATGTCGATGAAAGAAGTCGACGAGCAGATGCTCAACATTCAAAACAAGAACAGCTCCTACTTCGTCGAGTGGATCCCGAACAACGTGAAAACCGCCGTCTGCGACATTCCGCCTCGCGGTTTGAAGATGTCCGCCACATTCATCGGCAACTCGACGGCCATACAGGAGCTGTTCAAGCGAATCTCCGAGCAGTTCACCGCCATGTTCAGGAGGAAAGCTTTCCTTCATTGGTACACCGGCGAAGGCATGGACGAGTTGGAGTTCACCGAGGCCGAGTCGAACATGAACGATCTGGTCACGGAGTACCAGCAGTACCAAGAGGCCACCGTGGAAGACGAGGGTGAGTTCGACGAGGAGGAGGAGACCGAGAAGTGAAAGGCTGAGAGAAGTGAGACGACAGGATGTTCCCGACTATTGTGGAAATTCCTCGTCGATCAACCCGACGGTTCTTTCCAACGACCGCCACCGCCGCTGAAACTATACCAGTTTCGCGAACG